CGGACCAGCCGGCCAGCAGCCAGGACTGCTCGGAGGACGAGGAAGACGAAGAGATCGACGTGGACGATTGAGCGGCGCAAGGGATTTTCTGCCGCCCCGGGCTCTTAGGGCCATATGCCCTCCGCCTCCCGGACCGGACCGCTGAGGGGAGCTGGGACCTCCTCTGCACCTCCCGCCTTCTCCCCTGTCCCTGGCCGGGACTCGGCTCCCGGCAGCCGCCTCTTCCCTCTCGAAGCAATAAACCCGGGCTGGCCGGCGGAGCCGGCCGCCGCGCGCGGCATCCGCTACCCCGGGAGCCCTCGCCGTACAATTCTGTATGGCTTCCGTATAAATATTTAAACCTATATACCGGGTTCTTCCGACCGCAGCCTGACTTTTTTTCTTTTATTTTTTAAAACCTCGGAGATTTCCATGTTTTCAAAGCTCTTAGGCTGCTGGTTTTGCTGAGGGTGAGGCAGAATCGAGGGTGACGAACACTTAACCCTGCGGTCTGGAGGAGGGGGCGCCCGATTGTTCTGATTTTTCTCTGCATGTGGCGAATGCACCGGCCCTCTCCCTCCTCGCCTTCCTAGGCCTATTGCAGTTGACTTCTTTTATTTCCTTCTGCCTTTTCCCCTCCGGCCGTGGGAAGGGGCTGATGGGGGCATCCGGGTCCTGACTTGCAAGTTTCAAATTGATGTTTTCTTCCCCCTACCCCTCCCACCACAAGAGAAGTCTGTTTTCGATGCCATTTCTGCCTCCTAACGCCCAGTAAAACTATTTTAAAGATTCCTCCCCACCCTCTCTTGGTTTCCTTGGACTGACTACTGGGGTCCAGGTCTTAAGGACAAAGCAAATCCATACAATCAACCAACCAACCAACGAAAATGGAACCCAAAGCCCTAGAATTATTTTTTACTCTTTTTAGAATTTTTTTTGCATGTGACAGAGATTGAGAGGAGGCCGACCTAAGTCCTCACCCCACCTCCTCCACAGCTCTGGGTCTGTCTTGCAGTCTCCAATGCCGTACTCCTAGCTCAACATGGCCAGACAAGGGTGGCCGGATGAGGGTGGATCCCGCGTGCTACTTCCCTGCTCTCGCCCTGCTCTTTCTTCTCCGACTGTACCCAAGGCCTCTTTCTCCAATAAATAAAGTCTTTGCCATTTTACTAGAACTGGTGGTGACAATGTCTGAATGAGTGGGCCCTCTTCAGTGAAGCCATGGCAGTCTCTGTGTCTCACTACTGCTGGTCGCCTAGCCATGGAGATTTGGAGGAATTTCAGGGCAGGTGTGAGAGTGAGGGGTGAGGGGGAAGTAATGAGAGTGGAGGCACTTCTTGCCCACAAACTCGAGCTGGCTACTGAACGTTTGTAGGAGTGAGAAGCAGGCTTCGCCAGGTCCGGGTAAAAAGTGAGGCGTGCAATGTTGGGAGAAAATGCGTGCCCACTTTGTGGGTGCCATGGGTGCAAAATTAATTTGTGTGGGGCAAAGGCTGGGTGAGGAGGGCTTGTCCTAGGGTTTGTGCCTCCCAGCCAGGACCCAAGGGAATTCTTCCTGTGCTCCTGGGACACCGGCTAAGCCTCGGGTGGTATAGCTCATTTTACGGTGGGGTGGAGCCTGAGAGCTCCCAAGTTTCGGTTCTCCAGAGGTCCTCACCCTTGGGGAAGGGAGGAAAATGAGGTCGAAGGCACCGAGGGCAAGCGGAATCGCTCACAGGGGCACAGGGAGATGTGAACCCGAAGCGTCCGAGCGTTGGGGTGAATTTCTGGTAACGTTCACAATTCTGGGTCTGGAACTCGGCTCAGGGCACAGATATCAATCTCCCAAGGACTCCCGGGGTACCCCGTGCCCCGAGGGCGGCTAGGGCAGGAACACAGGCAGCTTTCACTTTTCCGAATGGAGCGGGTTTCTCTCTAGGCTTTTGTTGTCTCTGGGCTGGCGAGTGGCCGCTGTCACTAGAGGAGGGTCCCGCCTCCGGGCCGCTCGACTCTCTTTCTCAGCAAAATTGATGTGAGAAATGCGCATCTGGTCTCGGGCAGGCGGTGGGGCCCCGGGGCCTGAATCGGGAACGTTCGAGTCCACGAAGAAACTAAGAGAAATAGAAAAAGGAAAACAGAAAAACACCCCAAAAGCAGAGCGAGAAAGTGGAGAACCAGAGACGGGGGTGGGGTGGGGGAGAAAAAGAGGAAAAACTACAGAAAGAGACAGAAACAGACAGAGACAGACGGATACAGAGGAAGGAAAGCGGAATGGGAAGAAGGAAGAGAAGGGAGGAGAGAACGAAAGAAGGAACGAGGCGGCCGGGCAGCCGGGCCGGCGTGCGGCCGGCCGTTCCTTCCGGGCGACATAAATCGCCCTCTCTCAGGATGGATGGGTCTGTAATTCGGAGCGCGGACCATGAAGGCCGGGACGAATGGACCCGGGCGGCCGCTGACAGGCGACAATAGCCGGGCCCAGCCCCCGCGGCTCCGGGTGCGGGCGCGGCCATGGCCCTCCGCAGCCCAGAGCGCGCCGGCGCTGGCGACCATATGGTTTTTGAATTTTCTTCACAATTTGTAGACAATTTGATGGATTAGGTCCCCGCGCGCGCCTCTCCGGCACAAAGGCAGCGCAGGGACCGCGGCGCGGCGGTCACTCGGGCATCTGCGCCCGCCGTGCGCACCCCGCCCCCG